ATTGCAATATTCATTTAAATGACAATAACAATTTTTATTTTACGTAAAATTTTCTGACCCTACAACTTTTGTATTTAAAATTGTTTCCTATATCTTATAATAAACTCAGAAGGCGCTTTCTAAATACACGAAATATTATAATTATTTTATTATAATATATTATTTAATTTGACAATGACATAATCCTAATCTAAGGCTATTAATGATAATTTATCATGTTTGTATTTTTCCTATTATTAATTTACATTCTGTCTTAGTTAATTGTTTTTTTCCAATAATAATAAATGGTTTTACCCAAGTTAAAACTAAGTAGGTATACTTTAATAGACAAATTGAGGAATTTATAATTAATTTAAATGTCAATTTCGTAGGCCCACATAAAATAGTTTTTAGTAACTTTTAAGTACTTATATAATTTAATATATTTTTAAATATATAAAACCGAGTATAAAACATTCGACATTTGGCTCATTTAATTTTTAATCTGAATGACAAATAAACCACAAAAATATTGAAGTAAAATTGGTCATCCATATTGATAAAATAAACAATTTTCTACAAGAAAGTTATTTGTTAGGCTGAAAAGTGGCCTGAGTTTAAACTTAGCGAAGCACAAAAATAATTAACAATATAATTGGTGCAACTTAAGTTAGATTATTTTCTCCTAAATTTCATATGGAAAATAATAATTTTTGGCAAAACCTAAAATCTTCTTTTCTTCCTTTCGAAATGGGGATCCCCAGGTACTTTTTTTTAATTTAAAATTGCAGTGCCAATCATTAAATTTGCAAATAGGAAAAATGTACCTAAACATTGTTATAATATTTTTTTAATGGACATTTTCTAAAACCGCACAGTTCTTTTTGTAAAAAAATTGAATAGGAAAAATAGTTAATTAATATAATCCTAAAATTATTTAAAATATACATATATAAATATACAATATATTTTTTCGAAGAGAGAGAGAGAGAGATAGGTTCTGGCTTAACATAATATTTTGCGACTCACGTCGCAGCAAGTTGAATCAACTTGCTGCAACGTGTGACCTGGCTCACGGCGCTCCAGGCACGGCCTTCTCTATAGAGAACGCCGCTGCGTTCTCTATAGAGAAGGCCGTGGCTGGGCTCCATCGCCAGGCTTATGTCCTGCGATCGGAAACCTGAGACAATTGTAGACCCGGATTCAAATAATGTACTCATGATAGGGAACCGCGTAAATGAAGAGCACGAATTACGGGACACTGATTTGTGCAAGCATCGAAGAGTTTTGTAGAATACCATTTATCGTTTATTTACAAGGTATGAAATAAGTAGGAAAATAAAGTACCAAATTCGACTTTTAAAATGTTAGATATTTCCAGAAATGTACCTTTAATTTAAATGCAATAAACTAAAACGTTTTTGGGTTTTTCAGTTTTTACCCAAAATTAAACATGCCAACAGACGAATAAAGAATCTTTATTCGTTTACAAGTTGTAACACTTTAAAAAACTCACCCGGTATAGTGGTGATAATGCACCTATAGTCCGTTTAGTAAAGAAATATGCATGCAATATGAAACTTACGAACAACCCGGTCAGCATTGTAACGTAACATTAACCAAAATGTTATGCAACGATTGTGATGTGTAACATTACAGTTACATAACCTGATGGTTGCAAATAGGTTCCTATTCCCCGCGTATTGAAGTAACATTGTTACATAACAATGTTACGTTGTCGTTATATAAATGCAGTATACAGTTACATAACCTGATGGTTGCAAATAGGTTCCTATTTGGGGGCATCCATTAATTACGTGAGATGTTTAGGGGGGGAGGGGGTCGAGCCAAGTTTGGGTTGGTTTGGTATGGCACAATGCAGTGTACCTGCATAACCAAGATGACAGCTAATCCTCATAACCTTGAGGAATATTTTGCTACATTTAGCCTCTAGTGACTGCTTGAGGACCAATGACAAATGCACATGGTGTAGGTTAGTAACACGATCGAGATGTAAATGATGTGTATAAGTATTTTACGTAACATAAATATAATTGTTACGTAACAAACTTATTACAATAGTTTCACAATGTTACGTTTTTATTATATTGCTTATTGGTAATTTTGTTATGTGACAATAGTTTTACAATCTCACGTTGTTGATACATTGATTACACTGTGATACAAAATTAAGGTTTGCGAAAGGGAATTGAATAAAACCAAAAGCAAATGAAAGTTAATACTTTCCACAAGAAAACCCTATCAGGGTTTTTTTATATCACGTCTCAGTTTTTTTTTGTACGCATTTAAAGATGGTAAATTTTTTGACACCCTATAGGAAAAACATAAGTAAAACTATGTTAATTATTCAAAATAATTTTGTCAATTTTATCGAGGAATCCATTCGTGATGTTAATTTTTACCAAAGACCCTCAGAAGAGGACGCTATAAAAAAATTGTTACTATTTTTGAAGGTAAGAAATCCATTTTTGTCATCCGTTTGTTGTAAAATATACCCTAGGTGATATTCGAAAGCAATTTTTAATATTTTGGATTTATTAGTATAGAAAACTTGTTTTTTTTAAGAAGAAATAGCATTTTTACTTCTTAACTAAACATTTTTAAATTCGCTATTTTATTTTTATTTAAAAACTATCACTGCGGTAACCGGCAGTAACACGAGTTTAAGTACCAGAAGTTCCAGCTGTTCATCCAAAAATTGATAAAAATGCAAAATATAATTAATATAATCAAAAATACCATGTTTTAGTATAAAAATTTAAAAAATACCTGAATTATACCACAACATTGGAACACCAAATTTCTGCAAACTTTTCAACATATTCAATTATATGTATACCGTAATATTGTAGGTACAATTTTTTACATTTTTATATTTTGGAACTATAGACAATATAATATAAAACAAAACTTATAAGTTTTGTTTTAGGTATATTAAATTGTCCTTTAAATAAAAAAAATAATTTAATTAAATATATTAATTAAGAAAAACGTTTTATGTTGCTGTCACTGATTTACTATATAGTAAATAATATTATGTGTTTTTAAGTAAACAAATCAATTTTACCTTTAAACAACCTCGTTTTTGCTACAAAAACTGCAATTTTTTGTAGTAATAATATTTTTTCAAAAGGGCGAATACGCCGAAATACTTATTTTTTGTTTTTATCAAAACAGGAAAATGGCATATTCGCCCTTTTGCAAAAATACCATCGATATATTACAATATATTACCACAAAAAAATGTAGTTTTTGTATACAAGTATTGTGTTTTGATTAAAGCATTAAAGAGAATATTTTTTTTTTTATAAAAATGCCCAATTTTCTACTAAAAATGCTCTTTACTTGGAATGGATTCCTCGACTGTATTGCCAGAATAATTAAAATTGTTTTACTTATTTTTTTCCTATTATAGGGTGTCCAAAAATCTACCAACTTTAAATGCGTATAATAAAAAACTGAGACGTGATCTAAAAAAAACCTCATAGGGTTTTTTTGTAGAAGCTATTACCTTTCATTTGCTTTTGGTTTCATCCCATTCCCTTTTGCACTGTTGCACTGTGTTATTGATAATTTGTTATATTACAATAGTTTCACAATGTCACGTTGTTGTTACATTGCTTATAGCCTCTAAGGGCCTATTTAAAAACATATTGGGAAATGATCATTAAATTTGTCTGACATACCACTTATATGCCACGTTATAAATTATTTTTCTTCTTCTATTGTAGATCATTTTTATTTGAGAATATCTGAAATTTTACTACAAAAAACTACCGTTTAGTTTTAACACAGAGTCGAAAGCACAATGTTGTATCATACCTAAGTCTGAAGCCAAAAATGATCTGCCCAGCGTTGCCAGTGCCATTTTTTTAAAAGAAATAATAAAAATTTAAAATGATATAAAATCTGTATGATTTGGATTTTTTTAAATAAAATTTTGAAATTTGTCGATGGTAAATAATAAATTTCACCAATTAAATTTATATTATATTTATTGAGGGAGCCATGGGGCCGGTACGGTCGAGCAAACTTCAATTTAAATTCTGGTTGCGCAGAACTTGTTTATTTAATGTTATATAAACTCATATAAATTTGGTGTGGGTCCCATATCTAATAATTGAGATATTGGTATACCCAAAATCCATCAGCCGCCACTGAAAACTAAACAGTTACATGCAATATTATTATTTAAAGGTATGGAAGGAAGAATATTAATATTAAATTCGCTAATCTAACTTTCTCTGGAAAAGGAATATTATATTTTATGCATAAAAAAATAAATAGTTTAAGCCATATTTTAATGTAATCAAAGCAATTAAATCGCATTTTTTAAAAGAGGTCAAGTCCAATTTTACTTGTCATCGATTTTTTTGCATTTAAAAAGTTATTTTTTAATTGGTACGTACCTAATTGCAATTCTGCAAGTGTCGAAATAAAAAAAATTAAATTAATTTTAGAAACAAAATAATATTATGTAGGTACTTATGTTTTATAATTATTTTAAATTTTAAAAATATAAAAATATTAGGTATAACTTTATCTTTCTGACTCTTGAATTATAGAAAATCTTTAATATTTGTTTATTATACAGTTTTAAAATAATTTTTAATTTCTTGATATTTCGAAAGGTTAGGTAATTAATTATCGAAACTATCCAAAGTTTCTTTTATTTATTAATGTTAAATTTAAAACACTTTAGTAGACAAACGTACAAAAACGGGTTTAAATATCACCCAGTGCGAGCATATAAATATATGTACCTATCCGTCAAAAACAGTACCAGTACTTACCATTAAGGTAATCCTCATAACTAATGTTATGTTAATAGTACAACTTATAAAAGTGACATTGGTTTTGTTTTCAGTGCTCCCGATAAACTTTAAAAGATAGATTGTGCGCCCAAAATATATACCCAAACGTATGAACATAAAAAATAATTTTTCACACAAAAATTGGTTTAGATGTCTGGAACGGCAAGTCCTAAATTAACGTCCCCTATGGGCGTTGCTGGTGCAACAAGCGTTTTTTATTATTTTTTGGTACCAACTTTGATATTATGGTATGCCTATTACAAATTATCCAGGAGGCGCATGGAGGTCCTTGCTGATAAAATTCCAGGACCTAAAGGCATTCCTTTATTGGGAAATGCATTGCAACTGATGGGATCATCAACTCGTAAGTAGATATTTTTATTATTAGGTTAAGTAGGGAATAACAACTTTTTTAATTTATTTTTTCTACTCCCACCTTTAAAACGCCCATTATCGTACATGTTTCCATGACAAGTGGCCTTTTAAATACACATTGAAAAGTTGTGGCTTTATGGCGTTTTAGTCACGGACTTAATTTAGCAACAAGTTTTTAGTCACGGGCTGAATTTAGTATTAATTTAGTTGATAGTTGTCAAATGTCATACAATCGTTAAAATAAAGTGCCTTTCTTGTAAAATAATACTAAATGCCAATATTTGAAAAGATTATATGATCATTATACTAACCTTTTAATTTCGCCGGCAGTAAAGTATAACTTAAATTCGGGCTCGGACTCCACTGTAAAGTGCTCATAAAACATTTTCTTTGCTTTCACTGTGAAAAACTGTCCATTTTCAAGGAATACATTTCGATTTATAACCTTTATAATCTGTGTTTATAAAATATAAAAATTTGACATTTAACGGTGACACAGATTCCCCTATTGTTTCATAGATGGCGCTCTATACAAATATTTGATTTAAATCATTTTAAGAAAATAATAAGTATTTGTCGTAGAAAAAGTATAGTATACAACTCGTTTTATAAACTTCACTAGACACTCTTTATTATTAAACACTGGCTCGAAAGCTTCGCTCGTGCCTAATAAAACTCGTAAATAAAATGGCGTTTATAAAATTTGATACATAATATACTATTTTCTACTGCCACCTTTAAAAAGCCCATTATCGTATATGTTTCCATGAACTAAGTGACACTAAATACAAATTGACAAGTTGTGGTTTAATGGCGCTTTAGTCACGGGCTAAAGTTGGCAACAGGTTTTTAGTCACGGGCTAAAGTTTGTTTTAATTTAATTGACAGTTGTCAAATGTCATAAAATCGTTAAAATAAATGTGAAAATTACTTTATTACCTTACAATACAAAAATACAGAATTCTGTAAGAAACTATTGAATAGGTACTTAAGTATTTGAAAAGATTATATGAACGTTTAAACTGACCCTTTGATTTCGCCGTAGTAGTGCAGTTAACTAAATTTAACTGGTAAAGCGTTAACATTTTTGCGTACAGTGCCCATAAAACATTCTCTTCTCTTTTACTGTGAAAAACTGCTTCTATATCGATTGTTATTTTCTATTTTTAAGGGATAAATTTTGATTTACACAGAAAAATTTGACATTTTAACGCCGGTAGATTCCCAATTTAGAAATTCTAACGGGAATTCCAATAAATACAACTGTCACTTTTTGTACCTTTAACATTTCCTGTGTAAGAATTTTTAATACTTTGTGATAATATTTTGCAGTTGTAGTAATAAAAAAATTAAATATGTTCATATTTTAAAGTTATTTTAATATTTTAAGGTATCAATAAGTTTATATAAAATAATAACGGGCCATGTTAATGGTGAAAATTACGTCAAAAATGTTTATTGGGATGGTTACTTTATTTTCGTTTAGATATACAAATATTTAATTTAAATCATTTTTTAGATAATATTAAGTATTTGTCGTAGAAAAAGTATAGTATGCAACTCGTTTATAATTTTTTCTAGACCCTCATTTAATTAAGCACTCACTTGCAAGCTCGCTCGTGCCTTAATTAAATTCGTGACTACAATGGCGTTTATCAAACTTGATACATAATATACTATAAAACCAAACGGCTTAGGTATATTAAAACTATTCAACACACTTAAGAAATAATATTAATCGAAATATGAGGCAAAAGAGAATATAAAATTTTTAATAAATTAGCAACTTTATTGGTATTTAAAAAAAAACTAGAAAACATTAATACTAGCCTAGGGGTTACCCAGAATTTATTATAAATTAAACCACTTGTTTGGCAATTTAAATTACTTAACCGGTAAACGATTTTTTATGATATAATAGGTTTATAAGTATTTGTTTATCATGATAATTACTTTTTGATTACTTTTTAAAATGAATGTGACATTTTTGAAATATTAATAATCACTTTTGGTCTGCCCTGTATTTAAGAAAAATTTTCTAATATTTAATTAATATGATTATGCAATCAAAAAATGCACAATTTGTGTATGCTTTAAAATTAATATTAAAACAATAAAGCCAGCTACTGATTCATTTAATATACAAGGTGGCCCATCAAAAACAGTCCAGTAAGCTTACTGGACTGTTTTTGATGGGTTACGTTTGTATGTGAAAATAAAAAATGCCAACAAATTACATCCGATATTCTTCACAATGTACGGGAACACTTTGAACAGTTGTACTATTGTATGGAGGTGAACGGCGGACATTTTCAACAGTTAATAAGATAATACATAAGTACCTACTAATCAATAAAATTACATTAAACTTCTGGGCAACCCGCAGCACACATTTAAAAAACGAAGCGCCATTTTAAAGAAGCCCGCTAAGGGGTTGAAGTTACAGTGATGAAATTAATGTGTAAATATTTCCCCCTGAAAACAAAAGTATTTTTTATTTTTACACACAAAGCCGTAAACCTTGTTTTACTGTTTTCGATGGGTCACCCTGTATATATATATATATATATAAATATATTAGGGTGGTCCAAATATATTAGGGTGGTCGATCTTTTGAGAATTTTTGAATTTTCTTGCTCTCAGGGGCTCATAGTATTTAAAATAAATAAGAAAAATATTTTCCAAGTTTCAAGTTCCTATCTCAATATTAACCCGTGCCGCGTTGCAGTATAAGTTTCCTAACAAGGTTAAATTCTGACAAGTTTCAAATTTTTTAGACAGTTACTTTAGCCGGAATAAATAATTATTTATTCAATCCCGAAAACCCTATGTTATTTATATAGCAATTACACTGTAGTGCGGCACGGGTTAAAATTGAAATAGGGACTTCAAACCAGGGGCGGATACAGAATCTTTGTTTGGGGGGGGGCGATAGCCAATTTTTTAGGTGAAATAATAGACCTAAAATAGTGAATACAAATTTTATTTAAATTACAAAGTCGATTTTTCGCTTTCCTTTTTTCGCGAATCTTTCTATTATTTTATCGATATCGATGACAATATCAAAATGTGTATGTAAGAGCGTAAGACCAGTCAGCCTCTCTTCGCCCATGGTTGTACGCAACTACTAATTGGAAGAGTGGCTAAAATTTGAATAAGCTGTCTGATGGTTGGATACACATATTCGTCACAATTTTCACAAACAAATTTAAACTATTTTATAGTTTAGGCCGCACTACATAATTTTTAAAAGGTAACCAACGTTTTACTATTTTAGATAATATAATATAAAGCCCTATACAGTGTGCCTGTGTTGTAAATGTATACATATACGTATATATATAATAAATGTAAAATATCTCGAGTAGATATCCCACTCCCAAATCCTCCGTGAAAAAACTTATTAAAACAATCAATTATTAAAATACCTAGTTGCCTATATTAAAAATGTATAAAAGTACATACCATTTTCAAAACTATTCAAAACTCAATTTTTACTGGATAAACAAATTGTGATTCTTATTTTAAAAACGTTAACAAGCCAATTAAAACAATTCGGAAATTGAGGTTTAGTTAAAAGGTCCACGCGACTCTCAATAGAGTGCGCTGTAGTCGTCATAAGGCGAATAGTATGCGCAATAACAACTAATGACCAAATTTAAAATATATTGTTGCTATTACGCATGCAAACAGTCCCAGAACTAACGTGTATGCTAGAGAGAAAATGTTTTGTGTTTTTTTTTACTTACATAGTAGGTCGTTATACGTATTTAATAAATTTGTAATAAAATAATCTGAAGCTTTGGGGGGGGCGATCGCCCCCATCGCCCCCCCCCCCTGTATCCGCCCCTGCTTCAAACTTGGAGAATATTTTTTTTATTTATTTCGAACTATAAGCCCCTGAGAGAAAAGAATTCTCAAAAGATGGACCACCCTATATATAAAGAACACATCTACCGATTATTCATGAACCAAAATATTCGACAAATGCCCACCACGACTTTGCTGGCCATCCCTCCTTAGATGAATTTTTTTATAACATTTTCTCATATGTGCTGCTTAAGTTCGTCGATAACGCGTCAAATATCGTTTTTAAGTTGATTAATTTTTGCTGGTTTGTTGACCCAAATTCTTCAGTTTTGTTTGTTGACATTGCCAATGAGATGAAAGTGTTTTTGCTTCAAAAATACAGTTTATCAAGATCTAAAATTTAAAACAAATCCGGTTAAAATGGCACAATAAATAAAGATTTTAAAGGGAGAGTCGCAAAGAAATGAGTCACATAAAATTTACCCTACATTCCTATTTTCTTGTTCCGAAAAGAAAAAAATTGTAGTGTCTGACAGTCAGACTGAGTCAGTATCGCATTTTTTTGAGCCGCGCATCGGTTCTCGCCGTGGGTGGAATTACAATTTTTTTCTTCTTGGAACACAAAAATAATAAGGCCAAGTATATTTTATAAAAAATTTACCGCAATGGTAGGCCTAGAAGGTATAAATAATTTAAATTGTTTAAATAATTGCACAGTGCAACAGTGCAAAAGGGAATGGGATGAAACCAAAAGCAAATGAAAGGTAATAGCTTCTACAAAAAAACCCTATGAGGTTTTTTTTAGATCACGTCTCAGTTTTTTATTATACGCATTTAAAGTTGGTAGATTTTTGGACACCCTATAATAGGAAAAAAATAAGTAAAACAATTTTAATTATTCTGGCAATATAGTCGAGGAATCCATTCCAAGTAAAGAGCATTTTTACTAGAAAATTGGGCATTTTTATAAAAAAAATATTCTCTTTAATGCTTTAATCAAAACACAATACTTGTATAAAAAAACTACATTTTTTTGTGGTAATATATTGTAATATATCGATTGATAAAAACAAAAAATAAGTATTTCGGCGTATTCGCCCTTTTGAAAAAATATTATTACTACAAAAAATTGCAGTTTAAAAAGCAAAAACGAGGTTGTTTAAAGGTAAAATTGATTTG